TATCTACCCACACTAACTTACTCACCATAGGTATGCACCTCCACCACAGAGATAAAACACTGATCTCCTGAAGGCGTGAGAAAAGCCTGGGCCTGAACTGGAAGACACTCTCTTTTGAAAGCAGATTTTAGGGGATGTGTGGGCAAAGAGGTAACCAATTACCACGTGATGGCTTCATGCGTAATCCAGTCACCAGCTCGTATTTTGGGCTACCCATTACATAATAATACATAATAAATAAATAAATAATAACTGTTACTCTTGGGAGCAGGAAACTCTATGCTGACACCTTTATCATATATGTAATGTGAAATAGGAACATGGAAAATATGATGTGAATCCTTCCCAATGGTTTCTGGTCATCACAAGGAAAATAAAAATGTTATAATAATCTAATGTAGATAATGTGACAGCATAAAAATGTAAGAGGCTGAGCAGGGCGCCAGTGGCTCATGCGCAATCCTAGCTACTCATGAGGCTGAGGTCTGAGGATAGAGGTTCAAAGCCAGCACGGGCAGGAAAGCCCAGGAGACTCTTATCTCCAAGCAACCACCAGAAAACCAGAAGCAGTAGTGTGGCTCAAGTGGTAGAACGCTTGACCAACAAGAAAGAAACATATGGGGCTTTGAAAGGTTCTTTCTCTGAATATAAAACGCTTTTAAACATGTTAAATAGTCACATCTTTCTTCCAGATCTTACTACACATGGTTACTACCTTAGAAGTCCAGCCTGTCTTCTCATCTGATAGGATCTGGGCAAGAATTATCCAATACCCCCTCTAGTTCCTTATCTAAAGTGTCAAGCGACACATTCCCTCCTCCAGAGTAAAGCACACTGGATTTGTGCCACTTTTATCTACCTTCCCTTGACGTACACTTAGCAACCATAAAAGTAGATGACTGGCTATAAAAACAAATTTGACTATTTCAAAATTTTATGCAGGACAGATCTGGGAAGAAAAAAAGAAACTCTTTTACCTCAAACAGGAAATGATGCTAATAAGAGCTAATCTTTAACGAAGTGCCAGGAACAGGCTAAGGAGAGTTCTTGGGGCATTGCTTTGTGTTGGTTTGTTTGTTTGGGGTTTTGTTTTTGCTTAGTTCATGCAAGGTTCTACCAAATGAATCAATTCTAATCTCCATTTTATAAATAAGGAAAACGAGGCCCAACTTCATACAAAAGCATTGCAGAAGTAGAGTTTGAATCATAGCCCAGAAACCAATCTGCTTTTAATCACCTGCTGAGGATAAAGGCTGCACACATCTTCCGGGCTGTCAAGGCAGGCAAATGGGTGAAGTAGCTCAGTGTTAAGAATGGGATGCTGGGGGGCTGGGAAGGTGGCTCAGTGTAGAGCACTTGCCTTGCATGCATGAGGCCCTGGGTTCGATTTCTCAGCACCACATAAGAAAAAAGAAAAAAAGCCGGAAGTGGCGCTGTGGCTCAAGTGGTAGGGCGCTAGCCTTGAGCTGAAGAGCTGAAGGACAGTGCTCAGGCCCAGAGTTCAGGCCCCACGACCATACCCCCCCCCAAAAAAAATGGGATGCTAAGGGCCTCAACCTTGGGATCACACAGGAATCGTCTTTGGAGACTTCGCCTCTATGGAAGCCTGGGTTCCAGAACACCGAATGTTAGGATGATTTGCTAGGTGACTGAACAGGGCAGCCCAAGAAATCCTGCTCACAGAACAGAGAATGGTGTATGATTCACTGGAAAACAGAGAGAGAAAAATGTCAGTGTCTGGTAAACACTGTGTTGGTCAAAGGTTGTAACTACCACTGGCATTGACCTCTACCCTACTCTTCAGTATAATTAAGGTGCCAGTGTGGGAGCTAGACTCATAGATTAGAGAGAGAGAGAGAGAGGATAGATCATATAAAAGATGATAGCTATAGATGAAAGTGATAGATCAGACAGACAGACAGACAGATAGACAGATCACAGAGGGATTTTATAGATACAGACATAGACATGGGTTTTAGTGTAGGGTGTTGCCTGGTCTCTAAACTCTCCTTGTGATTATCAGCACTCTCTCGGCAGCTGTCTAGGAGACTACTCTACAACATTAATACATGTTGGGATATAAGTAACCTACTTTCGATCGACTATGTAAAGTATAAATATTGTATTCTTTAACTGGTGATAACATAAACATGCTCTCTTGACAAACATAGACTATAGATTATAGGCCCAAACTATTTACACCTTTTGAAGAATCATGTTTTAAAAGAAGGCTGGTGGATCATGCCTGTATTTGTAGTTTCTCGAGAGGCTGAGATCTGTGAATCCAGGCTCATAGCCAGCCCAGGAAGATTCGCACAAGTGACTCTTTTGTCCAGTTAACTAGCAAAGAAGTGGGAAGTAGAGGCATGGCTGAAGTGGCAGAGTGTTAGCCATGAGTGAAAAAGTTAAGCAAGAGTGCAAGACCTCAGTTCAAGTCCTTCTCCCCCCAAGAAGGACGCTCATAGGTAACTGATCTTAATCCAAGCTGGGTCCACAGAGCCTGCCTACCTGAACAATTCCTCGGAATGTAAAGTTCTCAACTCCATCTCTTAGGCTGTACCCAGTTAGGGCTAAGTCAAACATGTCATTTGTCAGTGGTAAAGGAGAGTCAAAGCAGCCTGCCACTAGAAAATGTTCCTTAAGTGGCCTGGAGATGTGAAATCCAAAATAAATGTCACAGTAGTCAAAAGTGAATTCATTAAAAAGTAGAAACTTCATGCTGCAGGAATTTTAACACTAGGATCCAAGAGGAAATGACCAAAGAATAAGAAATGGTCTTTGGGTTACTCATTCAAACTAGACAGAAATATTGTCATTTCCTGCTACAAAGCAGAAGGTGTGTATTTAAAATGACCAGTGTGAACATTATACCACAGCTCTTACCATTCCATAGCACCACCAACCAAAAGAAAAAAGGACACTGGGATTAATATTCAAAACAGAATATAACAAATACAGGTCCTGATTCAGGAGTCAGGGCCTCTGTCCGCAAGTTCCAACCCTGGCAAGCGAGGTACAGACACTAGCTGCACATAACCCTTCGTTTTCAAAAAACAGACACAGAATCGAAAGCTGAGAAGAAAGCAGACCAAAGTGCCTGGGATTCATTTTCCCATTGTGGTTCAGAGCGTGTTTTCTTTGTTGTCTGTAATAAATATATACTGCCTCTCCTTGGGACAAGCACTAGGTACTGCTTAGCAAAAATTAAGTATGTATCTTATTGGGTTGCCAAACGAAGACATCAAAGTGTAAACGAAGACATCAAAGTGTAAGTCCTCAGAGTACACTGTGCCTGTGGTCATATTTGTGAAAATTCAGTCACTTCTGTTGCTCTTTTATTTCCAGGAAATCTGCTGATAACTTCTAACTAATTAAGTCCTCTTTCCTACTTCTTCGACCAACAGCAACTCGGGATGGGGGGAGTAAATTTCAACATGTCTAAAAAAAGTTTTTAACCTAAATGTGTATCCAAACAGGTTTTCCTTTTTAACCAAGCCCATATTTTCCTTGCCTGTGGCTATATGTAGCTTCAGCAAGCTAAAAATACTTTCCATCCTTCCCAATTGGGACGAATGAATAAGACCAAGCAATCAGCTGTGTATCATATTCCCTCATCTTAAATTTTGTTTCTACTAGAAAACACCCAAAAGAGCTGAAGTAAGGGACAGGCATCTGTTTTATATTTGTACACACATCCACAGACACAAACACTTCCCCAGCTTGTCTCTGCCTAGTCATCGAAACACTAGATTTGCACCATTAGGTAACACAGTAGGTAGCTAATCCCTAGTTAGCAATTGTATTTCTTGGTTATTTATTTGGGGGTTGGAGAGACAGCTACGTAAGTGTTGAAAACAAACTAGAAGTACAGGTAAAAGCTATTATCTATAAAGAGAGATAGATAGATAGATAGATAGATAGATAGATAGATAGATAGATAGATAGATAGATAGATAGATAGATAGAATAACGATTCCGTTCTTAGCAGGACCATGTGATTTTCACACTCAGTCACCACATCTTTTGTGTTTCCGAAATTCACATTCAATGAGCCTGTAACCAGCAGCTGCACCCAGTGGCTCAAATCAGTAATCCTAACTAGATCAGGAGTTCAAGATCTGAGATTATTCGCTGGAAGCCGGGGGAAGAAAAGTCCATGAGACTCTTATGTCCAATTAATAACCAAACAGCCAGAAGTGGAGCTGTGGCTCAACTGATAAGAGCACTAGCCTTTAGTGGAAAAAGCTTAGGAACTGTGCCCAGGCCCTGAGTTCCAGCCCTGGGACCACACACACACACACACACACACACACAGAAACAGAGACACAGAGAGAGGGAAAAGGAGAGAAAGAGAAGCCCTACCTGCAGGAAGGTAAACAGTCGAGCAGCCTGAACTTTTCCAAAATACCCAACGTCTTCCAAGTCACCTCAAACTCCCCGAATACAGATCTAGCACTAGTCTAAGCTGCATGGGTCAGAGCTCATTCACCCAAGCTGGCAGCTCATAGCTTAATTTCCCCCAGATAAACCATCTGATCAATTTCTTGCCTAACTTCTTTCTTCTCATTTCTTGGACGACTCACAAAATTAATTGGACAAGCAAACTGTGTGGAAACCAGGGGCTTGGGGTCCTCAGGGATGGATGGATGGATGGATGGATGGATGGATGGGTGGGTGGATGGATGGATGGATGGGTGGGTGGATGGATGGATCGCTGCCTCTGCGGTCGCTGACGGCCAGAGCACGCCCAGAACCACTGCTCTTCCCCAAATCCCCGAAGGTAAGAGGTGAGCACGCCCAGCGCCAAAGCTCCCCCAGAGGTCCCCCAAATATCAGAGATGGGCACGCCCAGCGCCCAAAGCTCCCCAAGGCGACTTTTCCAACCGGGGCGGAGGCACGGGGCAGAGTTGGCCGACGCGCGCCCCGTCGGTGTTCCCGCGCCTCCGCGGACACCGTCGGGGGGCTCCCCCCACCACACACACATACACCCCGCCCCGTACCTTGCAGCTGGGCGGAGAGGGACTCCTGGTGCTGCTGGTACTTGAGCGCCAGCGCCTCGGCTTTGCGCAGCTGGCCCTGCAGCTCGTGGTAGAGCGCCGCGCCGTACAGGACGCCGACGGCCAGGCCGAGCAGCAGCAGAGTCTGCAGGATCCGCTTCTGTTTCCGCGAACACATCCCGTTGCCCATGGTCCCGCGTGGCCCGCGCCCCGGGGCCGCCGCCCCGCGGCTGCTCCGGCTCGGACGGGCGCGCGCAGCGGCCCCGCGCGGCGGCGGATCGAGCGGCCGTGCGCCCCAGCGGCGGCCACCGCGGGACGCGGCGGGACGCGGAGACACAAAAGCGGGGCCGGCGGGGAGGCGGCGGCCGCAGGGCGGCTCCGGCGGAACTTCCGCGAGGGGGACTCTGTCTCCGCCGGTCCCCGAGCCCGCCGGGGGGCCGTGCGCATGCTTCGGGGCGCCGCCGGCCCGGGCGCCTCCAGCCCACTTTTTTTCTCTTTTGGCCCCGATCGCCCCCCCCGGCTGGCGCGGGGTCCTCTCTCCACGACTTTGTGGGGTCGCGCGCCCCTCAAAGGCGCGGTCCCCGCTCCGCGTGCGCGCGCGCGGCCCGGACTAGAGGCTGGAGCGCTGCGGGACCCGCTGCCCCGCCGGCTCCTCGGGGATGTCACTGACCCGGCGGCTCCGGCCGCGGCCGCCGCCACCTCCCACCCAACTTACGTGTCACCCGCGGCCCCGCCGCCCGGCCAACGGGATTCCGGGAGGAAGTCCCACTCGCGCCCCGCGCTCATTGGGCCCGGGCGGGGAGCCGCGCCCTCCTTTCGGGGCCCAGGGCTGGGCTCCATTGGACGCCCGCTTTGTCCGTCCCGCCCCGCGGCCGCGCCTGCCCTCCCGGCGCCCCGGCGGCCCGGGATCGGCGGGGCCCCGAGGCCGCCTGGCGCCCCGTGCGCCCACGTGGAGCCCGGCGGGTGGGGGAGGCGGAGGAGAGGGGCGGGAACTTGGAGGGGGGCGAAAAAAGGGGGGGACGACGAGTTCAGGCCTGAGCTGGGCGCGGAGGGGTGCGCACGTGTGTGCCTCTGTGTGTGTGTGTGTGTGTGTGTGTGTGTGTGTGTGCACGCGCGCGCGCGCGTACACGTAGGTGACATAGACCGACAGACTGGCGGAGACCAGGAGAGAGACAGAAGCACAGGGAGAGAGACACACGGATACACTGAGAGACAGGACAGACAAGGATAGAGCAGAGACTAGTCAAGAAGGGGGGGGTGGAGAGAGAGAAAGAGAGAGAGAGAAATCCTGCAGTTGAGCTCACGTGGGCAGGAATGCGGTGTAGACACCCTGAGGGATGGACAGCAGTCACCAATGCCCTCCGGCAGCCGCAAGCCCCGCGCTGTCCCCCGGGTTCTGTGGCCTGATGTTCGGGACAGCCAGCGCCCGCCGCCTCGGTGGCCCGCAGGGGAGAAGCCCCGGGACTGTCTTGTCCGCACCCCGGGCGCCAGTCTGGATGCATGCACCACCCAGCTGGCAGGATGAGAACCCAGAGACAGAGGCACGCTAGACTCCACTGCTCTGCTCTCCACGTGGGGTGGGAAATCACTTCGCTCTTGGCAGAAAGGAAAGAAATGATCTCATGTATTTCCTCTGGCTGCAAAGAGAATAACATAAAAACAAATCTTCCAGGCTTAAATGAGTATGCGTTTATTGCGTTGGGTGTCTGCTCTATCGGTAGCGAGGAAATACATCAGTTACATTTCTAAATTACATTTTAAAAACCAACAAGGTTTCCTATGTAAAGATTTTTTTAATTAAACATCGATTAAAATAAGCAAAACAAGCATCATAACATTTCCCTTCAGAAGAATCCCTAGTGCATTTGTTCCTCTGATGTACCTGAGAGGGAAAGCTGATGTTCTGCATAAGTGATGGTTTTGTTACTGCTGTTGACCTGAATTGGAAAGGAAGTAAACCAGTTCTCAAGTACTTCAGTAGTGTGGAGACCTGTGTTACATTCTGCATCAATGTGATGATCTTCCTGCTGGAGTTTAGTTGTCATCACAATAATGTTCTGCTGAACAAGGAGTATTGAGGGCTGAAGGAAAAGTACATATGGTTGGTTAAAGACAACCTAGAGCTCTCCCTCATACTGGATAGTTTTTAGGTAGACTCTGAAGTTACAAAAAGCCACAAGTGACCTGCAACATTTATACTACTGTAAAAAGTGTGTTTGTCTTTAATTTAAAAAAATAGCTTACATGATATTGAACAAGATGTTTTGGTATACAAGTACATTATCTTAATTACCACCAGGGAATTGGATTTTCATGTTTGTGGTCAAGAAATAAAAGTGACATCTAAGACATCAAAGTGACTGGGATGGCATTGGAAATCTTAGGTTTCACAGAAAGTGAGTAACTTGACAAGAGGAAAACCTAGACAAGAACAATATTGTTCTTTCTATCTTCTCATTCTATTTAAGCCAAGTATATTAAAGATTATATCTGTTGCAATCAAATGGGATCTTCATTTTAAAAGTTTCAGAGTTTTATTCTATTTTGTAAATATTCTACAACCTCAATGTTATTGAGTTTGCTATTGTTTACATTTACCTCTGTGAATTTTACTCATAGAAATTGAGACTTGAAGCACGGTGCTGGTGGTTCTTGCCTATAATCCTAGCTACAAAGAGCCAAGGCAGAAAAATCCATGAAACTCTTATCTCAACCACCAGAAAACTGGAGGTGGTGCTGTGTCTCAAGTGGTAAGGCTTAGCCTTGAGCACAAAGAGACTCAGGGACAGCACCCAGGCCCTGAGTTCAGGACCCATGACCACCACCACCAACAACAAAAATCAGAAATAATAAGCAGAATAAAATAACAATACATAACAAAGGGAAGGAATAAATAACAAAAGAAAAGAAAGAGAGAGAGAGACTGAAAAGCTGTGATGGGCACAAGTGTCTGACTCTTGAAATTCTAATTCATCAGCCCAGGCAGACAAATCCAAGAGATGACATCCTTCCCCTCCTCTTCCCCCTCTTCCTCCTCCTTGGTCTCCTCCTCCTCCTCTTTTTTTCTTCTTCTCCTTCTCCTTCTCCTTCTTCTTCCTCCCTTCCTCCTTCTTTTTTTTTTTTTGGTCAATCTTGGGGGTTGAACTCAGAGCCTGGCTATCCCTTGAGCACTTTTGCTCAAGGATTTCACTCTGCCACTTTGAGCCACATCACCACTTCCAGTTTTCTGGTGGTTAATTAGAGATAAGAATCTCCTGGACTTTTTTGTGTTTTTGTTTGTTTGTTTTTAGAGGGGGGCGTTGGTCCTGGGGCAGGAACTCAGGGCCTAGGTACTGTCCCTGGGCTCCTTTTTGCTTAAGGCTAACACTCTACCATTTGAGCCACAGTGTTACTTCCAGCTTTCTCTGTTTATGAGGTACTGAGAAATTGAATCCAGGGCTTCATGCATGCAAGGCAAGCACATCTTCCACTAAGCCACATGCCCAGCCTGGGCTGGCTTCAAACTATGATCCTCAGATCTCAGTCTCCTGAGTAGCTTGGATTAAGACATGAGCCACCAGTGCGTGCCAGGCTCTGAGAGACTCTTGTCTCCAATCAATGGGCAAAAAGCTGGAAGTGGAGATATGGCTCAAATGGTAGAAAGAGAACCTTGAGTGAAAAAACAAAGAGACAGCACCCAGGCCCTGGGTTTAAATCCTCCTGTCATGAAAAGAAAACTTTAAAAAAGGAAAAGAAAGCAAGAAAATGGAGACTGAATATTAATGGGATCCTTCCAGATCCTCATAGCTACAAATTTCTCACTGTTGTCTGTGTGAAATTCACCATACAAGCACTTCCTGTGGAAACACTCTCCAAATGGCTCTGAGGGAAATGAAATTTACTGTAATAATCCTGGCTATACTTGAATAGAAAATTATCCTAGCCACAAAGAAAAGGAAGCTAACAGAGATATGAAATATTGCCTGTATTCCATCAACTATGCAGCATTTAGATGTTTTTCAGAACCTGTGGAAAGGTCTTGTGCTTCTGAAATATGTGGTTATTCATTTTTACATCTCTAACTCCTTCACATCTGATTCTGCACTCCAAAAGTATTCTTTACCTAATGCTGCTGGCAAACAATATGGAATATTATTAATTGTAGGCCAGAAAATACAACTCAATGTTTTAGTCATAAAATTTGAAAAGGGAAAATTATTACCTGAAATTTACCCATGATTTCACATTGGAAAAGGCTATGTAGAACCACAGCCAATCGTTAATGGTGGCAGTGTCTTTGTAGGATTCCACTGCCAAGGTAAAGTATGTTGTCAGTTTCTTAAAGCGATTAGTGAAGCTCTTTCCAGCAGGCAGCCCAGGGAAAGAATCAGGGCCTGAAATTGAATTTACATAACATTGCCTTTGGGCTAAGATAACATTTGACAACTTTGACATTCTTTTCCGCTTAAGTGAATGTGTCGTTTTAATCAAATATACTCATTTTGAAGATAGAGGAGGTAAAGAAACAAAGCAGAGAGAGAGAGAGAGAGAGAGAAAACACAAGATCTGATGTATAATTTGTCAAAACCAATTCTAAATCAAAGGTTTAGGATCCTAGAATAAATCATCTCTATTGCCTGGATTTCTTTACCTGAATCTCTTTATACAAAGGAAATTCAATATTGTTCTTCGCAAAAGAAGTCAACAACTAAAAAAAAAAAAAACTAAAATTTAAAAGCAGTAAGGCTCTGGATAGAACTTACTAAGTGATAGAACTTATTAACTTATTAATGCATGTCCAAGGCTTTGAGTTCCAAGCACTGCAAATTAACTAGTAAGTAAATAAATAAATAACTGGCTTTCCAGTATCAACAAACCTTTTCATATCACAAAGACATTAACTGACATAATATCACAGACATCACTGGTTCTTTGTATCTTTTACAAGAACTTTGCCTTTGGTCACCTCATCCATTTGGTGCTATCACCTACTTAACACATTTCCTTGTCCCAGTCTCCTTCATCGGCTATGCTTCCCCCTATCTTCCCTCCAGTCTCCAATCTGCCACCCATCCACCCCCCCACACACACACATGAACAGTTTTTGTCTTGGAGACAAAGTAGACTAATCTAGTCATAACACATAACACTTTACATACATATGTGAAAGTGGAACTGGAAAACTAGAGGGGACAGGTGGGGTTGGATAAATGGGAGACAGAATATAATGAAAAGGGTGACTGTTCAAA